GCAGGCAATACCCTAAGAATGTTAAACAGTATTTAAGTGAGCAATACTGCAACCTTAATTTTTATTTTAAGTTAGAATTTCCATCTACCATTAAGTATTTTGTAAGTATTTAAAAGGGTTTGTTACGTTTGGCTTTCTTGGATTTTAAGTTTCAACGACACTGAGGTCATGTGAAAACATTCCTGCTTTAGTGTAAATTAAGAAAGACCCAAGATACCCTTTGTGAAACATTTCAGACACGAGCGGGCACCTGACTAGAACCACCGACCTTCCGTAAATTAGCTTAATAGATTCCTCACAAACAAAGAATCCAAAGTTGGATTTCAAATTCAGCAGTAAATGAACGATGATTTGAAGTCGAAGGCCTTATCCCGACTCTGATTATGTACCTCCATCAGGCTCACTAGAGAAGATGTTGTTATTGTCTGACCTTAATTTATACTCTATAACTTCCAATATTATTTTCTTTTTCAGAAACATGAAAACTGCTATACAGGATGTCTGAAATAAAAAAACGACTTTTAGTTTAATAATGACAAAATAATCGTGAATTCAACAAAGAAGCATTCTAAATAATGTCATGATCATGATTTGATTTGAATGCTTTTGGTTCGAGATGAGAAGGGTCTTGCCTTTTTTTTTCAAAATCCATGTTTTGGGTTTTCGTATCCCCGATTGCAACCGAAACCATTTGAACAACTTAATTGGCAGAAAGTCATTTAAAAAAAACAAGAATAAAGATCAACAGGCAAAAGCAACGTTCACAGGACGCGGCCCCCGACAAACTCAAAATTTCATCACATTTAGTCAAGTAGTTACTGAGCGGATGAGATTGCACACACATGTGTACGACAGACGGACGAATAGCCATCGGGCCAATAAGCTCACAGATATTTAAAAGTCTATGTAACATTCATACATTTTACCTAGTATATATAGAAAATATCAAAGTCTAAACTGTAACCGAAATCTTGGTATAAACTGTAACAATATCGGATAAAAAGCGCTAGGTCTGTGCTGTAACCCTGCACAAATTACCTCGCTCTATACTGTAACATTGTTTATTTTTTCAAACGCATTTAACCAACAGGAAAATGGGTTAAACTGGTCATTTACTTTTATAAACGTTTCCTTACATAAAGGACTAACGTTTTGCAGATTTAATTTTTCTAGACGTGCTTAAATAATGTCGAAATTGGAGAAAAATGCATTGGTCTCTCGATTCAAATTTTCAAATTGTCAAATCTGCATATTTATAGGACAATATAGCGATAAATCTGCGGTGCAGAGTCTAAAGAAATATATGACTAGATACCGGATTCTGTTCCTTTCAAGCAAAGTACAAAAACATCTTTTAGAAACTAAACTACTTGTAGTATGGACCGGAATTAAATCTCCTACCTGTCCTCCCTGCAAATAATCCTCCATCTTTAAAATTCTATACTGTAACCGGATAACGCGATACTGTAACACGTTCCCTACGGTGGTATTTGCTGTATAAACGAGGAGACCGGCAAATAGCACAAAAAATGAAGGTCACTAAATCCTTGTGTATTAATAAAGGTCCTGGATCCCTTGGTTTCCTGTCATAAAACTCTTTCGGTCTGCATTGAGGCATTTTGCCGACATAATACAATATTTACTCGGGGTTATGCAGACGCTTTCAGTAGATTACTCTTAATCAGTTAGGAGGCAGATTCAAGCGTCTGCATAATACTGATTTTATAAGTTTACTTAATATAGCCCTTTATAAGCAATTAAATCTACTGTTAAATATAAATAGTACCCTTGAACGAAATGATAATGTACTATCAGTATACACATGTATATAAAGCTTACTCATTTACTTACTTACTTTAAAATTAAACACTTTTTGTATTTTCTGATCGCAAGATCAGATAAATACATAGCTAACATCCACGGTCTAACACAAAATTTCCTAACAGTCCTAACAACGCAAAGTAGTTCTCACTCAAAACTGCTTAAAACCAGCAATTTAAAAGAAAGAACAATTTTTTGTTACAAGTGTCCAACAAATTACTACACATTCAAACTTTAAAAGTAGCGTTGGCTTATAGAATTGTCAATAAATGCACACTCACAAATTACGCGGATGAATATGATTTTAATCAATGAAAATGCTATTTTTAGCGATGTCGATTACCGAATACTACACAAATTAATCTGACTGCCGAGTAGTGGAATATATAGTTTCTACATGTTGGACTGTTTGGGCGAGAAGATTTTTGCTAAATTATTTACTTCAATTTTAAACAACAGGTTTACCCTGAACAAAATACCTCGAAATTACCTTAACCCGAAATGCAATGGAAATTCTAAATTAAGAATGACTTGATTTTATTCAGCCTCTATTTTTATAACTTCTATGTGGTGCAGGGGTAACGCGCTCGTTTAATGTGTGAGAGGTCTGGAGTTCAAATCCCAGTCGAGTCAACATTTTTTTAAATTCTTTTTTTAGTGTCTTTGTTGGAAATAGCCACGATATGCAAGGATAAAGTGTGGCTATCATAAAAAATGAACATAAATGATTTTTTAGCAACGATTTTACATGTATACAATCATTTATAATCCATATGTGTAATGCATGATCAACACCACACTTGTCCCTTATTATGTTATCGCTATTAGCGAAGACCCCCTCTAAAGGTATCTGTTCACACTTACTAACAATATGACACTGGTTACATTACCATGTTGATCATGTTGAGCATAATTGTTTATTATACAATAATTGTAATAAAAATACAGATTTTATGAATATTGTTTTCTTTTCTTTTTTGTGTTTTATGTGCTATTTTAATACTGAGTTTTTACGTTTACTACTAATTTAAGAATTCAATTGTCATATTGACCGACGATTATAAGTAAAAACTTAACTGGAAAAAGTCAGTAAATTATGGTTAAACTTTTAATATATAATATTGTTTATTCTTAAAACATATACATGTACATTTGTATTTTTCTTTATCATTTTTTAAATTATCAATCAATTGAATAATTCATAAAATCTAATTTGTAACTTTGAATAATTCCTCGGCATCTTTACTAAACACGAATAACAAATTAAATAAAATGTTTCAAAGTTGATAGTGTCATATTAATACCATAAAAATGTACCTTTTTCTCAATTATTGTACATATTTATTGTTTTTATCTCATATAGATGAAATAAAACATGTTATTGTTGTTGTTGGGTTTTTTTTTTTCGAATTGTATGTTTATGTATAATAATAATCATCAATAAATTTGAGAGTTGATCTGTGTTTATTAATTATTGTAACCAAACTAAGTGACAAACATTCATTTTGAAAAAAACTTATATAACTGTAAATATTTGTTCTGTTCTGTAACGATATAAAACATCTACTCCAAAACCGGGAGAAACCGGACAATAAACGTGTGGTACTATTCGCCGGTCACTAGTAAATTCCGGTCAAAATAGACCAGGAGAGACCGGGAATTACCGATAGGAATACATCCCTCTATTAATAGATTTTCGGAATATATAGGTCACCAACTCATCATTCTATACATGAACCATAATAACCCACTGTGTACTACAAAATGATAAATAAAAATACCCCGAAGAGCGCGATTTATTGACGGAAAAGGTTATTTCATTTGAAAATGTTTGCATTGCGAAATTCTCCAGTTCGCTATTCATTGTATATATCGCGACATTTCATTAATCCGGACATTAAAAGATATTTGGGGGGGAAATCTTGCTGTAACAAATGCAAATTACTTTTCCCCATAGGCTCTTAAAGGCCTATTATGCCTCCGTTATGCTTTAATTTTTATTGTCCAAAAGCTTTTTATTTTCAGTATACTTTTATAGTATCCAAAGTTTGACCCATTGGCCAATAACCTGAACAATCTTTTGCTTCTGTTGCTGTTTGGCAATAAGTACTGTTATAATTATCAAGTATTTTGTATGTAAGTCATAATACTACTTTGTTTACATTTTGCTACTTTTTCATGTTATAAGCATCTAACATACTTTAAAACAATAATTTTAATGTTATAAAGTTCATGTTTGCCCTTTCTAAATAAGTTAAAAAATATTTATTTCTGACGCATAATGTGCCTTTAATGTGTAGTTGTTCTGAATCTTTCATATTATTTTCCATAAAATAATGGCGAATGGAAAGACTGATATTTCATACAAAAATAATGCAGGTCCCGTGTTTTCCAAGTGGAAAACGCACATTGAACCAATCTCAAAAGACATATTTTCGCTATTGCTCCCAAAATTTAATTCATTTTCAATTCCCCTAATCATTATCACTCTACATTTGTAAACAAATGCAATATATGTAAATATACACTCAATTGAACTGATAACGGATATTTCACAGTTCAATTTTCATTGCAGTCCAGAAGCAGTTTAATATTTTCTTTATTTTCAATATAATGTGATATTCGTAAACGTCACTAACGAAATCTTTCAGCATTCGATGCATTTAATTCACGTTTATCTATTTTGCATCGGAATCATGGTTATTTATTTGAGTTTGATCAATGTACATCAATGACATTTAATATTGAATATAAACATGTATTAGCAATGCTACATGATATTTTTTGGTCTATATTTCCAATTTATGAAGGTGTTACATGAAAAGAACACTGCTTGATAATGTCAAAAAACTTTATTTTAACAAGAAATATTTAACACTCTTTTTTTGGTGATTTTTTTAGTCTATCACATATTCATATACCTAAAACTGTCATTTTCCTAAAAAAGTGAAAATTCTGACCCCAGTCAGTTTTTACTTCACTATTTGAAATATTTCCAAAGAAACAGTCTTTTCACACTTCAGTATTAAAAACTTGAGCTTCTGAACATGGAATTTATCCAAATACACGGAAAAAAGCAGCACATACCATAAATTAATGCTCTTGGAACTTCGGTTTGGACCTGTGTCAGACCAGACTGGTGCCTTCTGAAAACTAAGCTGAACTGTCTTTCTGTAAAATGAAAAAAATACACAATGATTCAGATTGGTTAAAAAGAAACAAGTATTAAGGAAAGAGTTTATACATATATAATATATAAACATGTAAATATATATTTTCCTAAGTTAGTAAAAAAAAGAATAACAGATATTCCGGAAACTTACAATATATTTGTAATAGAGCCAGAGTGGTAATTTGTGTAAACCATTACATTATCATACTGAAATTAATATTTCGTTAGTACAAAATTAATACTTGCATTTCTTTTAAGTACTTAACTTTCAAAAATGCTAAAATCCTTCAGTGCTTTATATTATGATTTTGGCACCTTGCAATAAAAACTGTTCTATTTAGTATAGTTTTATAACTGTGTTAGTGTAAAAAAATGTTAATAAGTGTTAGACTAAATTTGGAAAACTAACAGTATAACATGAACCAAAATTTAGAATTTTATTTGCATCTTTTGCAAAATAGCATGGAAATACAGTCAAACCTGTCCACAAAGATCCTTACCAAGAAGCAAAAACTGTCATTCTTGACAGACAATCTGTAACAAGTGTATTTGATGACAGTCTCAATATCTTGAAATTTGACATAAATTAACAGACAATTCTTGTTACTGTGGTTTTCAATCTGAAGGTCTCTTAACCCAGGTTTGACTGTCAAATTGAAAGGGAAGGTCAAATAGCATAAAATGTCAGATAAAATGAATCTTCATTTGCTGGCATATCATTTGAAGCATTTAATTCTAATACAAGGAAGAGTTAAATATTTGGAACCCTGCAAGGGAGTAAGGAGAATAAATGAAATAAAACATCATGCTGGAATCATGTTAATGTTTATAAAACAAATGAGTGTAACAGTGTTTTCCTGAACAAAAGCGAAATGATTAGCATCCTCAACAGGGCATGAACTGCTGCAGCAACTGTGTCTTTAAATACCTCTTGACAAGTATCAGCCTCTGGAATAATTTTAAGATCCTTGTTTCTATAGTCATCCAACAGCTTGTATGTGTATACTGCTACATCATTATCATAAACCACGTTGTACCAATCTGGATATCCTGGAACAACAGAAATGACTCTTCCTATGTACGTTTCGTCTTGAAACTGATGTTCAATTCTCTTTCCTACCAAAAGTGGCACTCCTCTTCGTTCACGTTCACTGTGTGGACCTTTAAATGATTCATCCAGGAGCTTCTTGAGATTATCTTTTAGTTCTGATATTGTAAGGTCTTTGTATTTATTATCTGTGCCCTTTTTACTGAAATTATATACAGTTTTATCGTGATACTTCTGTTGTAATATTGTCTTTCTGAATTTTAACTGCCAAATAAGAGCTGCTCTCTTGTCCTTGTTACTTTTGATAATACCTAGAGCCTCATTAATCTGTTCCTCAGACTGCCATAAACCGTCATACAATATATTTGCAACAATTTCTTCCCTTTTTTTCCTCTGTATTTCATTCTTTCTAGCAGCTTCTGCAGCTTTCTCAGCTAAACGTTTTCTCCTTTCTTCTTGTATTTCTTTAACCCTTGCTTTAAATGTTTCGCGGTATTTCCTCCCATCTCTTCTGCTTTCTCTCATTAACCTAGTTTTCTCTTCATCAGAAAGAGATTTTAACCATTCACTTGTTTTATTCATTGAGTACATCAAGAACGCTTCATTTACAAGAGTGGAAGCATTTGGACGATATCTTAACTGAAAGTCAAGAACTCCAAAAGCAAATTCAGGAAGCTTGTTGTGAGGAATTACTGAAGCTGTTTTGATTTTCAATTCTTCTGTTATGTTACTGAATTTTCCACCTGGAAGGTGATCACCAACCATTCTCTCAAGTAATGAATGTAATGCTGTAGCTAATGTTTTCACTATCTGCTCTGCATAATGGTCAATGTCATCATTTGGTTGTACAAGACACTCAAAAACTTCATCCCTGTGAATATACTGTTCATTGAATGCACAACAGTCCCCCAATAGAAATTCTGCAGGATCTTTAGAAATTCTATCCAAATACTGGAGTAAAACATGGTAATGATCATTCATCTGTAAAATGTGTGTGCCACTTTCTAGTACCCGCCACAGAGGTGCTGTGACAAGCTTTGAAATAAGTCCAAGTACTTTGCAACCTGATATCAGAATCTTTTCTTTTGCATCCATCAAAACAGCTTTCTGAAGTTTATTGCTTGGAAAATTTAATTACATCATTTCTATGATAGTAAAGTACTTCAGCTAACAGAAATATGACATTAAACCGGTTCCCATGGAATCTAATGAATTTTACACGTCTTCCAGACATAGAAAGGTATGTTTGAAAATCACTGAAACATCCACTTTTTTCATCCCCACCCCTTGACAAACATTTACTAGCAGCTCTGATTAACCGGACAGTAGCACACTCTGATGTATTGAAATATTCAGACTTTATTTCATCATCTCTCTCTAATCCAATGTTTTCCTTCAGTGTTTTCTCATACTCTAGCAGACACTTCTGACTGACCTCTGCACAAGCAACTAAAAGGTGTAATCCACAGAAAAATGAATGCATACTTGTCAATGATGTTTGCTGTTCACTACTTAAATCAGTCCAGCCATCTGTAACAGTTGGGAGGATTTTCTTCCTATACTCCTCTAAAATATTATTGAATGCCTTTTCTGTGCTTGCTCTATCAGACATAGTATTTACAATGTTACTGACAATTTTATCACCAACTTTATTATCTAGATCTGTAACTGAATCACTCAAATCTTGTAAAATACAAAGTAAAGTATCAAATGCTGTCTGAGCTGACTTATTGTACATTTCACGCAAACCAAGAAAGTATGGGGACTGATTTTCATCTGTTGCAATGTATGTGTTACTATTACTGAATTTTTTATTGCATTTCTTGGAGCTTTCAAGTTGTTTTGAAAGCAGTAAATGTTGACGCTTAACTTTATTTTCCATTAAAAGTTTTTCTTGTTTCAATTTCCCGGATACTTTTTTAATTTTTTTCATTTCCATATTTTCTTCAGCACTACTGTCTAATTTCCGTTTCATTCTAATTAGCCTTCTATTAACATTTTTGTTTTTATCTTGCAATGTTCTTACAGTGGACCTTCTATCATGAAGTTTTTCTTTGAGCATACCTTCTCCCCTTTTTAATTTTTCAATTTCTTCATCTTTCTTTTTTAATTCCAGGTTCTTTTGTTCAAGATTATATGTAAGATCTTTTGTGACAGATTGAAATGTTTCAATATCAATATTTCTTGGACTGGGTGAGCTAGTTTCTTCAGTAGACAATGTACAAGTCTGAACTGGTATTACAAATGGGGAATTCAGAAATTGTTCTTTATAAATACCTTTTTTATTTTTAACATTTTTTAATGTTCTATACAGTTTTGTTGTTAAGGCATTAGAGTTAATTTCATTTTCATTACATGACGATAACCTGGCAAACAACTGAACTAAATATGTGTCTGACAAATTTTCTCCCTTGAACATTTCAAAGGCCTTAATTGCATGTTTTACTTTAAATTCTCCCTGAACACCAACTGCCTTCATAATTGTTTTCACAGCATTCATTTTTAACTTAATTTAACTGTTTTCCTTCTAGTGTCAAAATTTTCCACCCACAAAACCCATGAATGATTTAAAATTTTGACTGAACTGTCAACACAAACATTAAACAGTTTCAAAAGGAGACTAACCTGTCTACAACAAATTTTTTTTATATTTTAACAACTTCAAATTCGACTAACCTGTCATTAGAAAATAACTGAAAAGCTTCAATGTCAATCTCAACAAACTGTTAATATGAATGTTTATACTTCTAAGCATAAGCATTGAAATGCAATGCTTGCATTTTTCTTAGGCCTTTCATAATTTTCCTGTCATGTTTCCAGTTTTCATTTAACATTTCTTCCAGTGACATAAATACTGATGTCACTGATGGCATCCTGTACACACAATCATTAAGTTTACCAAATATGAAGTCATTAATTGATGTATCATACCAAGCTATATCAGCTAGCATATGTTTTAACCTTTTTAAGGATGTGTTGTCTTCATCATCTAGTTGATAGATAAGGAATTTAACCAATTTAAAGTGATCCCTTGCATTACATCCTGTAATTTCTCTTCATGATATCCACTTAGGAAATGTTATTTTAGAATTCATTGACATGATGAGCTACAAGAGAATATACTAATGAGTGTTACATTAGAGAATATACTAATGAGTATAACATTAGAGTATATATACTAATGAGTGTTACATGATCTAAGACTACAAATGTTTGTCATCAGGGTCTTTCAAATAGAATGGTCTGGAGTCAGATCAATATTACGAAAAAAGATGTCTCGGTTGAATCTAGTGATTATGTTATTAACCGATCGTGATCTGGCATAGTACATCACCATTCAAAAATCAAATTACAAGATAATGTTTTGTGAAATTGATCAAATAATTACTGAAAACTAATCCAGACTACTTTACATAACTAGTTTTTACTTTAAAAAGTAACTATTTTATAGATTTCAATGAAATTAGGAATATTTCGGTCCTGGGGTAAAGGTAAAATTTACTGCTCATAGTTGAAAAAAGGTTTGAGTTGCATTTTATAAATTCATGTTTTGTTCAATGGGAAAATAGAAATTGATTTTACATAGAAAAAAATGTTATTTTTCTATTTGAAAGACCCTGCTGTCATGAACTAGATGGTGTGCAAATTTATGCATGATCAAAATGTTAAAAACGACAAATACAGTGACAGTGCCTTACTTGAGTAAACATTAAATGATTAATACTGTAATTTTTAGTGAATACTTCCTCCATCATATCCAATGTATTAGTGGTAATTATATTAATGTCAGGTTACACAATCGGGGATACACGTTCATTCAAAACATTGCATCACACATTGCAATGCCAATGCATAAACAAAGAAATTGTCAGCATTTCAAAGGTTGAAACATAACTAATGTCATTACTGTTACATCGTGCATATCAAATAAATAAAACAGAATTTTAGAACACTAGTTTTAATGGCCTAGTGTATAGTAATCACTGATTCAGTGCCAATACTCAATAGGCAATAGAACTTTAGAAGCAATATCAATTCGTTTCCCCACCCACTGACCCAATCACTGAAAACTGGCCGTATTTCTTTTTCTGAGCATTGTCATAATAAACTGTGAACAGTTCTTATAAAAAAGGAGTTATTGCAACATTATTACAACTTACACCAAGGGAAATACTTCTCCAATCGCAGAAAATATCTGAAATATGTATAATCTGTTTCGTTTTTTCACAAACAGGAAGTTGACAGTACGACTTTCGGATTGCTCTCAAATTTACCGCTGTTTTCAATGAGTGTCCAAGATAAGGTACACTATTGCACGCAGGTCACAAATCTTCAAAAATAAATACTTTGTCCAGGTCAAATGTTGAAATTAAAGGGTATATTCGAAAGATTGATAATTATTTCATAAGAAACGCACATTAACTTCAGTGTAATGGGTTTGAAAGTGAAAAATATTTGCCAATCTTTTCTTTCCAATTTGATTTCGTTTAGAAAGGTGCGGGTTCAACGATATAAAAATACGGTTACACATTAATTAATGTTTCTATTAATAAATGCAACTATTTTTACTGACCAACGAACTGTTGTCTAAGAATAATTTACAGGCAAAAACGTCATGGGTTTCCCGATTTATTGAGGTCAGACATTTTCATTGGTCTGCGCACTTCGTTGCGCAGCGCCATCTAGCGAGCGTAGCATTGCTACATGTATAAAGATACGTATTTCTAGACTAAATGTATTGAAACAAAATGTTTCAAAGAATATGACATAAATTTGAAAATAAAGATCACCACCATCATTAATATTACCGGGTTAGAGAGAATGCGTTTTTTTTTTACATTATTTATGATATATTATTTTTTAAAGAAAGAAAATCACATTTTCCTACACTCATTCTTTATCTACATATATGTTAAGTACTTATTACGCCAGGTGATTCGCAAGCATCTTAGATCTGCCCCTAAATGCTTTCTAATAATCAAAGGGCTGCAAGCTCTGTGGTATTTTCTGATCTTTGCAATCTAAATCGTACTGTAT